GTCGGAAGAGAGAGGAATGGCGACGCCGTTACGGCAGAGAACGACGCGGGAGTCACCGCAGTTGGAGACGATAATCTTCTTCGGCGTCACGATGGAGACGGCGGCGGTGGATCCGACGGCGTCGTATTGAGGAGACTGAAGGTCGCATCTACACGAGATCGTGCTCCGATCCACGCCGCTGAATCTGTTGGCGCTTTTCCGGCTGACTTCCTTGTCCATTCTCAGGAAGCTTTTAACCATCATCCCCTTCCACTCCTCGGCCGTGGAAACTTCGAGCTCCTGCTTCACTATCTCATGCAACCGCTCTCTGCACTTCTCAGCCACGTGAGAGCAGCCATGGCCGTCGAATACTCCGAAGAAATGAAGATCGTCAGAGTGTATCCGGTGAAAGGACGGGTGAATCGACACCGCATCTTCCATATCTCTTCTCCTTCCACAAACCGACGTCATACCAAACTTCGGCTCATCGGAAACGAAACCGTTCTCTACTTCAACGCCGAAACCAGTAACCGGCGGGAGATCAGACTTCTTACTCCGGTCCGTCCCCGAGACCGACCGTTCCAACCTCCCGGAGTCCCTACTCTTCTCTATCGACTCCGGGTCCAGTTTCGACGACGGAGAAGAAGATGGCGAGGATGCCGCCGGCGACGGAGTCCCGCATTTTTGCCGTTTCCGGAAGCTTTCCAGCGGCGGAGCAACCGCCGAAACGGCGACTATCTTGATCGACGGAAGCAGATCCAACTTCCTCCGACGCGAGCCTCGTGAGCTAGGCTCCACTGGCGCCGCCGATTCGCTCTCCCCGACAACACCACAGCAAATCCCAGCCATTAATCACAGCAAAAACACCACCGATACCACAATTTCCTCCGCAAAACCGATCAAACGATGTAAACCTCCAACTTTTTTTCTCCGATTTGAAATTCCGATTGAAAACAACAACAATAAGGAGGGAGCAAAGATAATCGAGTCTTTGCAAGTTGGGATGAATTTAAAGGAGGGGAAAAAGAGAGTGGTTTCGCATGGAAGGTGACACGTAATCACGGGCGGGCTGCCCGCCACCGTCTACGGGCAGCACCCGACACGTACAGTTGGTGTGACATCGATTTCCTCCGTACAAAGATTCACTAATCTCAGCCGTCCATCCACTGTCTCTCTCCTCCTCAATGAAGACACGTGTCCTGTTCTCTTTTTGGCACTCCTTCACGTGGCCCAATCAGATCTCGACACGATTCAACCGTAACAACTGGCATTTCTTGACGCCGCATGTGGTCCCCGCGACTCCTATAATTTTAATTTCATTCACGTAATAAATCATTTAGATTCTGCGATTGACCATGATTTTTGTATTAATGCATGAATAAAAAACTACACGTATACTATTAATTAATTAATAATCAAAATAATTATTATTTTAGATTATTTTATATTTTTTTTAAAAAGGGAAAAAAAATTACATATATCCTTATTTAATGATAAAACAATATTATTATTAATAATTTATTATAATTTGACAAGGATAAAATTGAAAACTATTGTAAAAAAATGTCATAAAAATATAGAATGACAAATATTTTGAAACATGAAAAATAATCTAAAACTACAAATATTTTAAAAAGGAAGGCCTAGAAATTTAGAGATTGCTTCGGTTACTAATTATGACTAATTTTTTCAAATAAATATATCATTTTTGGATATTTTCAGAAAATAAAGGCGCCCGTCGATTGCGTACGGCGAAACTGAATAGCGATGCACGGTCCAATTTTTTACAATAAATATTGAGAAATCGAGTTATCAATTCATAATTCTAACGTTATTATATATATATATATATAAATATATAATATGTTTGAGATATTTTCATTTCGATAGATGGAGTGATTTCACCACGTGGATTGATATTTGAGACGTGTGTTAGTTAGCTCGTCATTATTTATTTGTTTATTTTATAAGAAACTCATCATTATTTATTTATTTTATTTTATGGCTACAAAAGGATTACTAGCCCAAAAAATATCTTTGGAACCGTTGATGGTACAAAAGATCTATCGGGACGAAAAATATCTTACGAGATGAACTATGTTTAATAAACGAAAATTTTTTAATATTACAAATAACATATTAAATATTTAAATGCTAATAGATATATCATATTTCCCGGTTTACTTTGTGTTAGATATTCAAAATTCGAATTCTAAAATTTACACGTTATCATCCCAAACTCTAAACTCGAAATTGAATTAAATAACCTGAATTCCTTGTACTTGTACTGTTATTAATGATAATCTGAAAAAGTATCATTAAGCAAAAATACAAACATCAAAAGTAGCATGGCGGGTGAACACACGCTCCATCGGAGGCGCGTGGAAGAGAGGTATTCAAGAACCTTTTAGTGGGGCCCATATCAGCTGACTCCCTAAATTTTCCAACTGTAATAAATAAATATGACCACGTAAATCCAAGAGAGTGTAAAACACGCGCTGCGTGGCATCCATTCGCCTTCGGAGTATCTTTCTTTAAAAAATTTATATTAGCCACCCAGACGCTGTGTTAGCGACACGTGGCGAATCTGACGTGGATATTATTGAATGATGTCCACGTTTAGACAACAACACATGATTTTTTTTAATTTCGTCGGGTGACCCTTAACTATTGTTGGTTTCAGTTGTACCCCCAAATAATTTGATATTTTTTTATATTCCCTTATTTATCACTTTTTTCAATTCGGTACTCTAGTTTGAAATTGATGGTTTGAACAAAGTTTGGTAAATTCAATGTGAACTGCGTTTAGTTTAATTATTAGTAAACCGACATAAGAGAATATTTAAATTGAAACTTAAATTAATCATTTTTTAATTTAATTCGAATTCAGAATTTTGAGAAGTTTTCATGGCAATGTATAAAAACAATGTTATCCTCAACAAATACTTGACATCAGAATTTTAATTTTTTGGGGGGGATTTTGTGCCAATTGTTAAATTTCTTATTTAAAGATTTTAAACGTTAACTTCGATATCTTATATTTAAAATAATTTTCTGAATAATTAACTTTAATTATAAAACATTATACATATTAGTGTTTAAAACGGTAAGTCCAGTTACTGTATCCCAATAATAGGAATCCCATATTTTTCAGGATTTTTTTTACAGAATAATTCATAATAAATAGTCAAATCTAATTTTTGTTGGAAACGAAATAAAACATAAAGTGATTTAAAAAAAAAAGAATACGATTCTTAATTTTTATTAAAACTACCGTAGTTGAAATCTCGTCCGACATCTAATAGAAAAAATTATAAATACTCCATAATATATTAGTTGACTTATAATTTAAATTTTATTATCTAAATAAATAATAATTATATTTTTCTTTACAATATCATTAAATCTAATATTTAAACACCAATATAAATACGTAACAGAAATGATCGAGAATTACACTATAATTATACATATAAATATAAAAAATTTAATTAATCGCACAACAAAAACTGCTAAACCAATGCGATGCTAACACGTATCTGATAAAATCCTTTGTTTTCTCATATAAGGTAGCTCTGTTATCACAATGATGCCAGACAAACCAATAATATATCGCCACGTAAGTCGTCCGGCTGTCATGATGTAGACATGTCGCCACGTGTTGAAATACAAAAGCGCCGGTCACTTGCACGAACCGAACACATCGTGACCGCGACCGGTCTCATCCGACACATCAGCTTTAACTTTCTCCCTGTTTTCCACGATCCCATTTTTAACTTTTCTCTTTTTCTTTCCCATTTAAACATTTAATTTTTTTGTTAAATTTGTTAATTAGCTAAATTAAGGGGTTTAAAAATTATTTTTGTCCTTGTTAAAGTTTCAACGTGTTACGATTATTTTTGTTCCCATGAATTCTCATGTTTAAAATTTAAAAAATCCTAAACAAATTCCAAATACAGTGCTTTGATCTTATTTTATATACTATCCCACGAATTTGCCACAAATTTGTGTTTCTATAACTGACCCCATAGTTTTGGTATTTACAAAATTATCACATCAATTAATTTCGGATCAGTGTCGTCCCCCGAGAAGTGGGAAAAAATGGTTTTTACAAAAGTTTCAAACTTAAAATTACTAATTCATTTTCCATTTACAGTTTTCAGTTTCCGATTCCATAATCTAAAGATCAAAACGTGGATTTACATTTCAAACGAATCACATAAATAAGAGGTTCACCATTCCAAAGAAGGGAGAAGAAGAACAATGGCGGCGATGAAAGTACATCAACGCTAAAGAACAGAAACGAGACAAGGGGTTTCAATTAAATTATTACCTTTCACCATCTGCAGGAAGAGATCTATTGAAGAACATAGTTAAAACCGTTAACGGTGAATCCGCCGTCTACCGATATTACCTGTCCCGTGATGTAGGAAGCGGCCGGAAGGCAGAGGAAAGCGACCATCGACGCTACCTCCTCTGGCTCCCCGATACGTCCAAGCGGCGTGCGGGAGATTATCTGCTCCATCAACTCTTTCTTCTCGAGCAACTGCACGATAAAGGGACTATCGTAAAAACATGAAGTATTCTTAGCCTCGACTCTCGAATATATATAGTACGGATCTATAATACGGTCGATGTGGGATACATCATTAGGGCTTATGGTTATCTAAAAGAGGAAAGGGCATTTACCGGTTCCACGAGAGATGTCTTGATGTACCATGGGGCGACACAATTTGTCCTAATGTTGTCGCCGGCCCACTCGCAGGCTAGATTTCTCGTGAGTTGATTAAGGGCTCCTGAGAAAAAACCCGAATGCAAATGTAATCGGCATTGACCCTTTTTCTTTCTATTTGTGGAAACTGGTGGGAGTGGAAAGAAGATGGGAGTTACCTTTCGTCGCACCGTAAATAGATCCACTTCGGACGTGGACCACGCCAGCGACAGAGGAGATGAAAACAATGCTTCCAACCCCAGATGCTTTTAGAAGAGGGTGAGCGATTTGGGATAGATGGAAAGCCGAGTCCAAGTTGGTAGATATCAGTTTTGTGAACTCCTCGTCGGTGAATTCTACTGTCGGTTTCCTGATATTGGTTCCAACATTGTTGACCTGGTTGGAAAAGAAGAAAGTCAAAACATTTCACAAGATTTTTCGGCAAACCAACATTGTGAATGATTAAAGCCCATGTTTTGAAACCACTCTGTGAGTTTGTTGCACATATGGAAAGTAAGCTACATAGAATAACAAGCATCGAAACAAATTTCAACAGAAAGCATAAGCCTTTCCGTTGCCACATATGCATAGTATGATATTCGGCCATTCTTGGTAAAACCACAAACTAGGGTGCAAGGAATCGTTTGAAGACTGATGATGAACGTAAACATGCATAAACCTAATCAAAATTCCGACACAAACTGATCAGTGAAAGAGAGCATAGTGATGGAGATGGACTCACTAGAATGTTGAGCTTGCCACTAAAGGCAGATGCCACTTCATGAATGAGCTTCTCCCTTTGGTCTCGAATCGAAGCGTCACAAACCGAACCAGAGACTATAAAACCTCTGTTTTTCCACTCATCCAAGCATTTTCCTAGCTCTTCCTGGTTCCGTGAACACGTATGAACCGCTGCACCAAACCCTGCTAGTTCCTCCACTATAGCCCGCCTAAAATAGAGCCCGAAATTTGCTATGCATTCTCATCAATGTCCCAAAATTTGATTGATTTTATGTGCTAAATCTCAATCTGTTCCAGCTAATCCATCTAGAAGCATCGCACCAATATTTGGACGAACCAGACGGAGTTGCTCGACACTTATCAAACAAACCCAATCCACAATTGTAAGATGACCAAAATTGAAACGATCACATGATAAATCCTACTTCAGCCTGGAATTTCCTATTACCCGAACAATCCAAATGAGCAAACAATTACATTCAACCATGTTTGGTTTCATTTTTTCAAGAAAAAACCAAGGTGCCACCCTTCACTCACAACTACCATCTCCCAATTCTGGAAAAATCAAACCCTTTTCAAATTGATGAAATTAAGCACAGGTTCCGATTTCCCTGTTGATGAAAACACAATCTTGTTGCATGGGTATCACGCAAATCTGATAGTCGTCGTCGTCCTAACCCCAGAAAACTTGATGTTGACGGCAGAAACAGAGATAGCAAGTTCGGTGAACCGGAGAAAATGGAAGCGCGAAATTCGAAACAAGAGAGAAGAAACAGACCCGATTCCGCGGGTTCCTCCGGTGAC